GAAAAGTGTCCTGAGATAAGTTCTGTTATAAATTGGCGCTATACAAATAAAATTGAATTGAGTTGAAGACCTCAGCATTGTTTTATGGTGTGAGAAGAGGAACTTGCATGGATTTTGAATAATTTCACCATTCAAATGAGAAGTGAAAGCCCCTGAAATGTGGTGTCCCATCAATTTCTCATAGCTTATGTGTGTGTGTGTGTGTGTGTCTGTGTGTGTGTGTGTGTGTGCGCGAACTGGCTGCAGACACACATTGAGCGAATAGAGCAGCACTTTTACGGGACCGCTTACTGCTGAGGGCCCCAAACCACAGGCATTACCCAGACCCACATTGTTGTGCAATTCCCGCCCTAAAGCGATTATGCACGGTGCCTGTCAGACTGGCCCGGCATTATCACACAATCACACATGCATTCGGGCATGTGTGATTGTATTCACATACATGAACGCTGGAGCTCTGTAGCTGGCTGCCATGGGTGGAAATTAAATGCACACTTAAATCAGAAATGTCGTTATGAGTGTACGTCAGACAGCAGGTTCACCGCCTCTGCTGTCACAGGAACTAATAGTTTGTTTCAAGGTCAAAGTGCATAACAGTGTAACCGAACCGCCCTGAGGCGTATTCAGTTTAGGTTTGCATTGGCGTTGCAACATTGCAGCGCTATTGTCTGTGTTGTATGGCCGGGCTCTTGGCTGACGTAGTGTGTATAAAAGAAACACCTCACGGGGAGAGGTGAGGTTACCAGCAGTTACGTTTTCACTTGACATTAACGTCTACGAGCGCATACTGCACCGACTGAAACTGATTTTTCAAAAATAGATTTCTGTAAGCAATTGTCAAGTGTGCATGGGATGACATTATATTTGACTCACCATGGCTGTTAGCTGAGACAGACATAAGTGTAGTTTAGGATATTTACGTATGTCTGGGGTACTTAAATAGATGTAGGGTAGATGTAATGTACAGTTTCAGGGTGGCCTCTTTAGTTTCCAGCGTGGCTCCCCATTCAGGGTTCCTGTGTTGGTTGGATTGTAGGAAATGCAGCAGTGCCAGTCAAGCATATTAGACATGTAACCACATGTGGAGTCATTTTTCTCTCAATGAATCATTGAGATACCAAGGAAGAATCTCAATCTGTTGACGACACTGGGTTTTGAGTCATGTTAAGAATCCACAATCATTATTTTCATTGTTTAAAGACGCTGTCATTTGTCCGTTTTTTTTCCAATTAATCTTGACATTTAATAATTATTTCACTGACTTTGCCAAAAAGTGTGAAATATGCCTGAGTGAAATGAAGATTTAGTTTAGAGTGCATTGCCAGGGTGCCGTTTTTTTATCTGTGCATCTGCATACCTTCTATTCTGTACTAATGTTGGAGCTTAAATAGTGTTGTTAAGGTTTTATCATCTGTAATTTTAACGAATAATTATCTCTATCCTTTTTACTTAAAGACAAACAAATCAGAATTTTCGAAACACTGATTTCAGGGCAGTTATTAATATTTTGCACTTTGAATTACGATTATCTATCTTGTAAATTGGTTCTGATATTTCCTATCTTGTTTCTTGAATCTATTACCTCTCTCTTATTCTCCCTGCTCTACTGCCTTTTAAGAGCAAATTTGCAAATTTCAGCCCATGACAGGAAGTGGTTGCTTTGACAGCAGTACAAGGTACAGTATGCAGTATCAGGGTAATGATGTCATCAAGAGAGGAAGCAACACTGAGTGTGACGCCAGATTCTGTGTCTTCTTCCTCTCCCAGAGTTTCCTTCTTTTTTCTTAGTTCCACTCAGAGCTGGGAAATGAATCAATGTCATTACTTAGCGTACTTCTAAATTATTGTTTAAAATTCTTATTGAGGTATTGTGGTTACGCTTGATATAATGAGCTAAATGATAACTGTGTGGCCTTCAGTTAAATGGAGCCAAAGTAAATGCTGGAGTGAGGCTTTGGTTTACTCATGTGCAGCTCCTGTC